TTCATTGTAGTATTTCTAGAGCAACGGAATATCCATGGTAGTAATAAGGCTTACAGTAGTGGCTCACAAAGATGAGCTGTAGTAATAGTTGACCACAAAAAATCGTGCATACTGGATCAGGCGAGACAAGTACCACTAAACAATCAAAATTCCTACAGTGCGTAGCAGGTTTGCGAATAGTAGCCAATTAGTGATTACTATTAAAATGTTCTAGGAATTAGAGAATATATCTCGAGACAGTGTCATGAAAAAAAATGCAAACTTTCGTTACTGCCAGCACAAAAGTGAAAACGTGTGGGATCGCAAACGTTCCACCCCGCTTCAATCCCGTACTAGCAAACTATTATGAGAAAGAGGAATAAATAAAGCAACGTCTCATCGAAAGAAAAAGCTATAAGCATGCAAAGCACAGTAGAGAAAAAAAAACTCACGTTTGAGTTGACGATCTTCATTGGAAAGCAGAAATAATAATAGTAGAAAATAAACGTCCTTGAAAATCAGACGTTCAGACGAGAATATAGCTCACAGCGAGCAGAATAATCAGACGTAGTAAATTAAGAATTATGCAGCGTAGAGTAGGAATACAGCTGAAGACGCCGAGAATATCGAAGAAAACAACAGATTCCTCAGAAAATGCAATGGCTGAAATATCGGGTATTGATTGGCGAAGACGCATAGTTACTGTATAGTTGACGCAAATACTTGATAGTTGTCCCGGGAAACTCGCCCCTGAATTTTTCCTGTTGTAGATTTAGCGGCGAGTGAATAAGGAGTGTAAATACTTGATATGACTTGGTTTTATGTACTTGGTGCTTATTCAAGTGTTTAATTACATTTTATTCCATTGCTCTGATTTCATCAGTTACTGTGAAATAGCAAGTGGTTTTTTGTATCCTTCTCATTTTTACTTTGATGGTTGTATAAGTATGATGCGGGGTCGGTGTTAGTTTAGAAGAATAATCAACTTATAGATTTTCTACTAATTGCTTGATAGCTGATAATATTTCTGTTGTGGGTTTCTGTTATCGCTTTAATGTTTCGCATATAGTTTTTGGTATATGTTGTCGCATAATCGGTCTTGATAACAAAGCTAAGTGGAAATCAGACATATTATTGGCTCATGTGGCGAATAAAATAACAGGATGGGCATATCCATCATTTGAGCTGAGTTTTTATTTCAGGAATTATTTTATTCCCTTCAAGTTTTTTTGCTGATAACGAATGCGTTGAGTGAGTGCTAATGGCCTGCCCAACATGTACGTCATACGTTAGCTAGATGAAATTGACTTTTAACTGTTCAATATCCTGAATGAATTTAGGCCAAAGTGTGTGTACTTGCAAACATTTCATAAGAAAGGCGCTAGACGCTGTCGGATTACAACAAGCAGCACGGCACTAAGATTGCTATAACCCAAGAGCAAACATTACGAAGTCAAGACAATAAGAATCTTAGGTTTGCATTATTCTTTTGCTTTAAGTCTCGATGCTTAATCATGCAACACATAATTTTGGACTACTCGTAAGGATTCAGTTTATTACTGTAAAGAAACCAAAAGCCCCTGAAATGTTGGTGATACGTGGCCTACTGCATACAGGCAAGGACGTGTTTACTGGTCCAATTTCATTTTAATTTATATATTGGTTTTTATTTCATCTTTATTCGATCACAGGTACTTCAGCTTACTATCGCAGCTACTGGTTCTGATTTGAGGCTCCCGAGTGGAACAGCCGCCCATAGCAGCAGTTGAATGAGAATGGAAGGAAAGATTACTTTATTAGTTTTTTGTGAGGTTTATGTGACGTTATGTTTAGGCTGGCAAACTGAAGGGTTCGAGTTTAGCTGGAATAGAAAAGGTAGATGTATGTTAAGTGATTATCAA